TGATTGAGTTGGGTAATCGGTTTAGCATCCCCTTAAGCCATAAGAAATAGGCGAATCACAGTCGCTTATTCTTCTCGGATTTGTAATTGATCAATTTCTTACGGTTTAAGGCTTAAAACACCTATTGTAGATCCGGGGTAACACAAACTTCGATTTTTTTTACGTTTCATCTGCATATACGATAGGTGCACAAACTCGCGGCGGGATCTTGGACTATAATGTGTATTCGCTTATCATTATCTTTCTGTATTGTTGATCAGTTCCGACGGTTATTGCAACTTATGTGCGAACACTGGGAGTTTTTTAATAGCGAATTCGAACGTCATATTATGAAATATTACGCTAGTATCAGCCAAAAAGTGACAAAATACTTTGGAGGTACAGGAATAAATAATTTTTAAATCTTTACAGACAAATTATGATGTGTCATCGACTAAAATATTGTAATTGCAAAAATTTTATGTTCAATTTTTCTAGTGTAAATATATATATATAAAAAAAAGAAGAGCTTTTTTATAATTAAAATTAATTTTTTCAAAATCTAAAATTTCCATATATTTTTACAAAATATTTATGGAATTATAAAATAACCATGTTGAAAAAGAACTCGAGCGCGAGCGTGGCATGGCACTGGTCTATCATATTATTCATGTTAGAGATCCCGGATTCAATCCAGTAGGTCAATTAAAATATTTACGTTCGTGTCTCCTCTCGGAAAAGGTCGGCAACCTCCCGAAAGTATCCTTGCCCACAGAAACACCTCTCGAAAAATCCGCCGTTCGGAGCCGGCATTAAAACTGTAGGTCCCATATGCTTGTGGCAATTGAATAATTAGCGTGTGCACTACAAGCATATGAGAGAGGCCAGAGGCCTAACATAAAAAGAAGAAGAGGAAATATAAGTCTTTTAACATTTTATACAGTTAATAAATAATATGTATGTTCCTTTTGCAGTATATTTTATCATCTTTACAATATTTTATTTGCTAATTCCATTGATACCAAGAATCTTAGACGTCGTAAAACCGCTGAACGAGTCGCGGCCATTGATATACGTATATTCGGTTGAATACAGAGTAGACAAAGAAAAATATTATTATCCAATATTACTTCATTGTTACGCTACGACTTTAATTACTATTACAATTGCGTTCACTGTGGATACTACGTATATAATGTGCGTGTTGCATGCTTGCAGTTTATTTATAGCTATCAGGTGAATAAAATTAAAATAAGATCTTATATTTATATTTTTTACAAACAAATGTTTCTAAACATTTTGCTTATTTTTGAATGAATAAAAATAAAAATTACGATCAAAATTACGTGCTAATTAACAATATTTAATTTCAAAGCCATCGTCTGGAAAACATTACTGTTAAAGCAGAAACTAAATCAGACAACAACAAAAAATATATAGGAAGACATTATCATCTATTGATGGAGAAACACGGTTCTACTGGCAATGATTATCGTGAATTGATAATATGCTTAAAAAGACATCAACTTGCATTAGAGTACATTTCTGTTGTCTATAATAACAATCTATTCAATAACAATAAACAGTCTACTTGATATTAAATTATTCGGATATTACCTTAACTATAACAGTGATTTATTGTTTATCCATTATCATATTATATCAACTTATAACTAGACTTACGGATTATTTTCATCGCCAGGTATGTTCGCATATTAGAATCTTCGTTCACGTTATCGACAGCTATCCAATTGTTGTGTAATGTAATTGATATAAGTCTTACAGGGATTCAAGTAAGTACATAGCAGAATAGATAATTATATGTGTTAAGACAAAATTTGTAAATTTATAGTATTTATCTAGATAATTCCATGTATCTAGGTAACCAATAATCTCGATAGTATTGAGAATATTATTAGATACACTGCTTTGTGTTTAACATCGTTTTTCCATCTTTTATGCATGACCCTGCCAGGACAGAGACTGATGGACCACAGCTTAAATGTGTTCAATAGCGTGTAAAAATATTATATAACATTTGATAGATAAAATAGAGAGAAAATATCGTTGGGAAAATGTGCCGGATATTCTGATGTAATCATTACTACATTATTTAATGAACATTGGACAATGTTTCCATATTAAATACAATATCATACACGCATAATTTCCCGCGATATATAGTACATAGTAACTCTCACATCTTGAATTTGGTCTTGTCATTTTTGCATCTTAAAATATTGTGTATTATATATAATTACAAGAGAATATAATCATAATTCCATTGTTGAAAAATATATTTTAATGACTAATTAATTCAATTATTAGTAATTGATTTTATTAATATATTAGTAATTAATTAATTAAATTCTCAATTCGAAAGAAGATGCCTTAGTTCTAGGTCGCAGTGGTACACATTTTCGTTAAAAACCAAGAAAGTGCTGCGGATATTGCTTTACAGAAGTATTGTGCCGTGCACATTGACTGCCGGTAAACTGTACGTGATGTCAATGGCCAATTATAGTTCGGTAAGCATCATTGTGTGTTACAAACTATATGATTTATCTTTATAGAATATAGATGATGTGTACATATAAAATATGTGTATCAAATTACATTGTATTGAAAGAATGATATTCTTATTTTAAGGTGGTGCAGACTGCTATGTCTTACTTTACGACATTCTCTTCTCTGAAATAGCGAGTTTTCTGTAATTAAACATTTTTTGTAGTTCCATCTTGAAAATTAATAAATTATTAAGTATTTAAAGTTATATGTACGCAATGCATATTGAAAAATATATTTTATAATACTCGTAATTAAGGCATTGATCACTAAAGAGTCAGTCGATATATTTCTGTTCGAAATAAATTTGTTGAAAATATTAGGGAGTTTTTGCAATACCGTTTATCCAGATACGGTGAACGTTAAGGTCAGGTTATCTTCTTCTT